TAAGATATTTTTAAAGTTCAATTGCATTCAAGAATCGCATGAAGCGGATCGATGTCAAATGATGCCGGTTGCAAAACATCCCCTAGTCAGTTGGGAGAGGTTCGAACCTCTGCCATAACGCCTGAATATGGATGGGAATCTGAGCTTTGGGAGACACTGCGGTTTCCTTCAACTGAGTCCAGCATCAAATGGCTCCAAGGGCACCATTCTTGTCACACACACAGGCTTCTGAATCACCATGCTGTATTTTTACAACAAAGCATATCTCCATCACCAAGCTTGTTTTCCAGGATAAAGCCAGGTAATTAGATCTCCGAGTCAAGGACATCTGGGTACAATCGGGTTTCGTTTCACGCTAACTTAGGAAGAATGTGCGCCCACAAAAGTTGAACTTCCTACACTGACAGTAGTCTTTCAGGGGGCAGTCATTGTCCACACGCGACAACAAAAAATAACTGAATGTAACGACTTTCGATGGATTCCTCTCCACCGCGCGAAAATCTGATTTCTTCATTCATCCGTATAGGCCTCAATAATGGAGTTTTCACTGCATTACCCTTTACAAAATCATTCCCGAATCCTGAGCCGTAAAAGAGCAAGGGATAATCTAACGTTATCTTCTTCACCAGTCTCTGTACTTTCCTTCACTGACGGAAGTGTGTTTATCTTCTTGAAACTCAGGATTTCCGATGTTTCTGGTTAACCCTTATTCTGCACCATAATGTCTATTTTTTAATATGAAATAGTCTTTATTGACTCCATATTAACTGTGTGAATGCAGTCTTGAGGTTCGTTGCGGAATTCATCGGTCAACAGACATTTCTCTGCCTGCAATGGCTTAGTTCATGGGATTTGACTGGATGTGATCCAATGTGCGGCTCACAGTGTGCGAACAGGACCGATTTCCACCAAACCATCTATAAACCATTTTTGCTTGCTTCGGGGACCAATTATTGCACTTCGCGGTGTATTTTTTGAAGTGCACGTCGCTAACCCTCGGTGTTGTCGGGAGATGGAACACCTATCCACTTGCTCGAACTTAGTCTGGTCTACCATTCGAGGTTGCCATTGCGTGTTTTTTTACTTTCTATCTGTAGTGTACCTGTATCGTATATTTACTCCAGTTCCTTGAGTAGTGTTTATACATCTTGTCTGTTTAGATTTCACACATGTATGACTCTACCAGCGACCAGTGTTAACACTGGAAATTCCGCAGTGCTATGCTTCCAACAGCGTTAGAAGTGGATTCTTTTGACTAACGTTGTACAAACCGAAGCAGCTATCTGCTAGCTGCTCAGATGAGTCTTTTGAAGGGTGCGGGCCACTGAACTGCTTTGCATACGCCTGTTGGAGCCCAATGGTTTACTGAGAGTTATGGGTCGTCAACTGGGCCCATCGGTTGAACTGTCCCCTACAGTTAACCCGCGGGCCCTGTTCAAGAGGGAACGTAACTAAACATGAGTTTCCGTCAACCTTTTGTTCTACTTGAACCCAAATTGGACCGATTTAGAGAAATGCACTCATTCGCAAATCAATTTGGCTTTCACGAGAGGCTCAAATGAATCCCTCGTTTATGTTAGCTCGTTTGTGCCGGGGTTGGGTTCAAACCAAGGACCTTCAGGTTAATAATTCTCGCTTTAACAGCTGAACTTTCTCTAGTTTAGTTCAAGCTGCGAGGATCGACACTACAGAACGAACCTCCCCACCTGCTGAACACAGTTTGGAAAATGGCGGACACTTCGCGAGATCTCAAGGTCGTGACGATTATTCTTGTGTACAACTGGGAAGAAAGTCGAAAGAAGATGTACAGTTACCACAGAATCAGTCACGTGTGTAATTCCACAAATTATAGCTCGTGTTCTACTCACTCAGTAGCATTCTGGGGAAGAATGTTCTTGAAGGGTAGTGTGGATTCCGAAGGGGGTGAATCACGGTTGACCTAATTTTTGCCGCAGGCGAAAAGTTGTGAGCGAAAATAGCCGTTTTATGGGCTGTTTGCGGACTCCGAAACCTCTGGCTCAGTCACCAGAGAAGCACTGTAGATTGTCCATAGAGAACACCGTTAAAGTTCATGTGAAACTAGCTCCGCTGGTTATCCCACTCGAAAGGGACATTCGAACCTCATATCCTTAAACAACTGTGATCTGATCAGCTGAAGAAAGGAGATCGAAATTCGGAACGGATGAAATTCCGCTGTTGAAATGTGAAAATCTGTAACTTCCAACTTAGATTATGAGAGAACCAGGCGCTGCAAATATTGCCTGGCTGACGGCCGTACATGCAGGCGTGAGAATCTTTGAGATGCGGTACGTCTCAGTACTACAATATAAGTGAACCTTTCGGTGAGGACTCAGTCACGAATGTGTGGACATGTGCAACATGCTGTCACCCATGCCTTGGCATTGTCATCAACACACAAGCATACACACACACACACGCACACACACACACACCGGTTCACCTACTGGACTTAAGCAACTGGAATCGAGTTAAATTTGTTCCTCGTGCTGAGGAGTGTCTGCCAGACATTGTTGTCCTAAGGATGACAGTAACTCTGATCCTGTAGTCATTGGAATGCCGTTAGGCCATCCACTACTACCTTGACGGTGAAACAATTGGCGTTCTCCCGGAATGGTATTGTACTCGGAGAGGCGCAGTATTATGCTGAAACTTGGAGGAATTGCTACGAGACACAGATACCTCGGTGAAAAAAGGTCTGTGCAGGTGCTTAGCGTTATCCCATCATGTTTAGGCTTGTCGATGAGTTGTGATGGTTCTCTCTGTCTCCTCCCGCCGGTCTTATTCCCTCAGATCTAATTCGGCGACAAGATCTTAGGCACAGCAATGCATTCAACATCACACAAAACACAAGTAGCTCTATAATAGCGCAACCGCTACTGACCGGTAAATCAGACCTCGGCGCCAATCAGTCTTCCAGCATGTTTGATTCCATTTTGTTGAGCTATATATTATGTCATATATATATATATAATAAGAATAAAATTGAATGGGGAAGGGAATTAGTGCTAGCCTATCACCGATTCTCCTCAGTTGTCTGGGACGGTCTCCTTTCGCCAGATGCAGTCAAATAGATTAGGAAAGCACTGCCTGAGGACTTCGCCCCATCTTTGAACAAGATGGCTGGCAGGTCATCCGGACCAGCAGCTGGGTGCCGTTTGAGAGAACATATGTAGCCATAAACCTTGGTGTTCGTAGGGGCTTCCAGCTCCACTGTCCAGCGCTCTACTTCAGTTGTAGGATCCAACTTAGTGGTAGTAAGTGGCGAAGATCATTGCTGTTCAGGGTACTTGCTCCAATAGTGTCTGATTATTTGTCTGGTCAAATTATGCTCGAGACCGGTGGGAACCGAGAATCGAGGGGTGCTATGGTTCTGTCTGATATCCACTGCTTCAGCGGACTTTGCAGAGGCTTGCTACAGTTGCTGAGCCATTTGCCCTCCCCTTGCGTGGCCATGGAAAACGAAGAGAGGAGCGATTTCGGACGAACGAGTAGTCGGAATCCACAGATGTGTTCCAAAACGAGTGGCAGTTGGTAACTGGTCTGCGCCATCGGTAACCGACGGCGATGTGATGAATTTGGATTCGTAGTCGGTAGGCTGTTGGAGGGCGTCATATTGTCAGGCGATTTCAATTGCTGCAGTCAGTGCATGGCTAAAGCACCAGTTCGCCATTATTCGTACGTTTCGAGTCCAATCTACGCCGACCACCTAACTGAGTCCCAGATGCTCTAAGCCTGCCCACTTGTTTATTCAAATCTTCACAACCACAACTGCATCTGGGCTTTTAATCTGCCGTGAGAGCGCACTTCAGGCGTCATAAAAGTTTCCTTTGATAGTGCCAGAGCTACAATCATGTGAGGAGAAACAGCTATGATAAACAGGCGATGATAAGCTTCCCGCCTGAGACTCATTCAAGGACGCTGCGAGAGGATCCGCTTACGAACAGGTGTCTATCCAATCGAAGATGCTTTCCCTCGGTAACTTGGGACAATGCACGTGGACCTGCACATCCTGCCGAAAATGCCTCTAGGTCGCCGGAAGTGTGCAGCCGCAAGCAAGTGGAGAGCAATGGGGTATGTAGCTCAAGGCTGTGCTTGCATGTTTTGCCTGAAAATCGCCATCCGGACACATTAGGTCGAGTTCAAGTGCATCTCAAACTACATACGCTTCGATGTCCGTCGGTTGAGATGCAGAGGATTAAATACCAATCTGAAATCCCCACGGACAAGTCAAAATTTTCCATCTTTTAAAATTACCTAACTGGGTGGAGAAGCATGTCACACTGGACGAGGTAAGATGTGTTCAACCTTGGCTCGTGATGCATATTTATGAGGTGTTTTGCCTTCATACGGCATGGGAAAGGAAAACTTGGTTAGTTTGCAAAAACATCAACGCCAAAATGAACAACACGGTTTGTCAAGAATTGCTCGTGGTCAAGTGGTACATTAGAGAAGAATACATTAAGTATCCTTACCACAAAAACCGCGAACATCATCCGACCGATTCAAGGCTAGCCGAATAATTCATGGAATTGGGCACAAATGATCACGTAAATTGATCGAGTCAACGCGACAAGCAGAAGGCGCTATGTTTCGGGCGATTGATTTTTCAATGGCTGAGCCAGCAATGATGATATCGGTGCAAAAAGCAGCAACAATTAGGTGGCACAAATGTGTTTTGCAGTATGCAAGTGAGTAGTATACGGCATTTCAGAACCTGTCTTTTATACACAACGTAGCACTGTATCGGCATGAAAGGTGCCGGGAATAAAGGCATAGATGGGGATGGGTGACCCTCCAGGTATTGTCATAGTGAAAGTGCAAAACTCACATTCATTTGCCAAAATCGCTCTGCATGAAACATCTTCTCTTTGTCCACTTGGATCTGCGAAATTAACTTCAGAGTAGACAGTGTACGTCTTAGCTTGAAGTTCATGCCTAGCACATTCTTTTTTTCAACTCGTGTTTTCTCACTTCCACAGTTTTTCCCCTTCCCCTCGAGCTCATCCATTTTCATGGCATGATGGGCACCATAGAAATCGTCACCGCATCTCTATCGAACAGCTGGATCGAGCTAGTTTTCATTCGGGATTGGAAACAAAGTGATCTAGACAACTGTTCTCTCCCAACACAATGTTTTTAGACACAGAGTTACGATAATGATTCAGCCTAATGGACAAATTAAGGAGGAAGTAAGTGTGCGACGTTCCTGAGTTTTTCTTGGGCTGCCACGTCTAAATTCTGCGCACAAATGGTGACAGACCCCACCTCAGTGTGTTTTGTGTGAACCATCTTTTAGGCTACATCCACAGAAGGTTCTTGAGTAGCACTGTCACACTATGACTGTAGAGTTGACCGTCACTTTATCAGAATCTGTTTAGTTGTTGAGTGAATCCATATGGAATGCTCATTCTGTGACCACTATTGAGTAATCTGTAGGTATGATACCGCTCTGTCTTCTATCAGTCTAGCTGTCCCCTAAAAAGGATCCAAACTGTTCTTGTTAACCGAATCCAGGAAAGATAACATCGTCAAATTTTCAGCCCCGACGGAAGTTTTTATTCAGAAACGATCATCGCTCACTGGGTGGCTGTGTAGCGCGCCAATTACTTTGTTCAGTGGTCTACAACAATGACTATTTTCACGATTGTCTTATTTCGTTCATTTTAAACCTTACGTTTAACACTGTAATAATCAAGAAGCCTGATACCTCTACTATCATTCATTCGGCTTAGTTCGTACTAGCGAGAAAAACTTCATGGGTTTTTACACCGCTAATTATGCCTAGCGTTAGTACGTAGCCCGAGCAGTCATGTTCGCTTCGCGGAGCAATCAACAACGCACTGAGTTCAGCCGTGAACTACCGCAAGCGATAAGCAAGATATTATCGACCCCACGATCACCGCCAAGTTAACTGAATTCATTAGATCGACGTGAACTATGATTGAACAGTGTAGACTGACACACACACATACGGACCACAATAAATTTTTCTTGGGGTACTTCTCATCATAGTTTACTTTATTGTACTTGGCGTGCGTCTGACCACACAGTCACCGTATATATTGGCCCTGACAACCAGGACAACACACCATACTCTGTCCTACTCTATAATCTTATTCAACTTTAATGGTTTTCGTTGTTTTTTCATTGTTCAAAGCATTGAAAAGGAGACCAGTTTGTATGATGATTATGTAGTTGTGTGTGGCTGGGGGAGTGTGCAAACATCCTTCAAACTTGCAGTGGTACCGATCCCTCTGAGTGTTTCAAGATAACCCGATTAAACGAAATGCTAGAATAGTTTTTGGACAGGTATAAGAAATTTTCGTCATACTACCATCAGTTGCGCGATCCAGTTTCGTTTTGCTTGCCACAAGCTTTGTTAGTGTTGTTAAGTAAGCTTTAGTGAGGTACAGGCAGGTCAATCGAGCAATCCACCGGTTATTTACAGATTACAACGTGCAAATGTACTGCGTACCGAAATATAAAGCCTTCATCAGCCACCGTTTGCCCACAATGACAGACCAGTAACCTTTAACTTAAGAGCAAGAATACCGCATCTGCGAGGCAGCCTAATAATGCGGGCAAAACTGAATGACATGTCACTGTTACTTGCTCGTGAGTGCCCCCTAAAAGCAAATGCTCACTCGAAGCAAACGATTTTCCACAATTCAGTCGCCTCCCTTCAAAAAATCTTACCACGAGTAAATTCTCATCGGCAAAAGGACCGAATAGTCTGAGGGAAAACGTCGCAAATTCCTGTTCCCTAACCATCGGTTAGGGTTCGAAACCCTGTTCAGACGCTTGCGTCTTAAAGTGTGCTTCTAAAATGTGTTAAAAATACCCCTTGGTTCATTCAATGAAATGGCCGAGTTCGTGGCTCAATTTCATATTATTCAAGACCAGATTCAAAGTGACTGCAGTTCATAAAGGAAACTACTCACAACCTTGTGAGTAGTTTCCTTTATGGAAATATACTGCGATATCTCGAATATCGTGCCAACTGAATCATGAGGTGGCCTGTGTGCAGCACATTCAGCTGGAGGACATCATAAACGAGAGATTCAGTTGAGTCTCTCGTGAAAACTAAATTGATTTGCAAGTGAGAGTATTTCTGGATAACTGCAGTTCACTTCTTCAGATTCAGCTTAACGGTAACGTCTGTGTTGTATGTGATGAGATCTCCGTTAACTGGATACTAGGGCTAACGAGCAAACTTTTAGTTCACTCCAAACTCACCCTCGAGAGCAATACTGTTCCATTGTTATTCCGTTAACAACAAGCGAAGATTCGAATCACACAGTTCGAGCTTTAATGAATCTCTTCGCTCTCTCCAGATGGTCAAGCGGTCATCATGAAGCTATATCTTTTTAACAATAATTCGAAACAATGAAATTTCAGCTTGAAATACACTTACTGTTCTCTCCTCTCCAGTTCGGCAACTTGAAGCAAGCTATGCGACTTTACTATGTACAGCTGCACCAACAAATTTGCCATTGTGTTTAACGAATGCCGCCTTTGGACTCCGTAGTTTCGAATGACCGAAAAAGTGCCATTCACGTTAGTATAAGGTGCAGTCGAGATGGTTGCTTGATTCTGATCATTTGAAGTGTGGAAGACAGCCTCAACATAAACGGGCCGACCCGACACGGACTGCAAGCAACCATCATACTTTACAAATATGAAGAAGTATTTCACATTTGAAGGATTTTTACCAACCGCCCCCCCCCCCGCCAAGTTTGAAAGTTACCCGTCCTCTTTCCGCTACCTTCAGGTACTCCACTCTATCTCCTTCCATATTTTTCTTGCTCAGACTTTCAAGAGATTTTTCGATTCACAACAGCGTTCCTTGTATTGCTAGCCTTCAATACATCAGACGTGGTTTTTTAATTGCTGGCATGGCGTTAGAGTGAATTTTATGCTTTCACTTTAGTGGTTTTGGAAAAATAGCTGTTTCCCCTTCGTAGTATTGGTTTTCGCATTCCACCTGAAAGTTCGTGGAGAAAGTTCACTGCTCATTGTCCTTGGTTATGCTGCAGACTAAGATTTCGGAAAGCTGAAACTTGCTTTGGGGACTATCTTGATTGAATCAGAAATAAGGTTATGCGAAGATGGAATTCTTCATGTGAACTCTGTTTGTACGAGCACACGATGTGCTTACCGGTTTTTCTGTTGCCCCGGATGATTCGCAATTAATACTTTCCTGAAACTTGCAATAGAGCAAATGAGAATAGAGCTAAGAGTGATTGTCCAATGGTACCGGATGGAAAAAGCAAACATACCTCCAAAGTCGCGGTTATGGTTACATTGATGGTAACAAACATTCAGCGATTATTGTGCCTTGATTATTCAAATGCCTGTAGATTGATCTTCCTTGGCCAAACATTCTGCGCATGGATACGTTGATTTCCGACTTCACCGATTAGTCAGATTGCCTCAATCTGCTATGATTTGCCCTTTACTTGTCGAACCAGTTTGGTCGACCATCCTTTACGCGCGCTTTTTGACCATTTTGCGTTACCACGTTTTGTGCCCAGACGTGTATCGCAAACTAAGATCGATTTGCCATCTTCTTCGGACTTTCTTTGGACTTGCACTACTTTGTGCAACAGTTTAGACGGAAAACCCCGTAATTTGAGGCTTGTACCTCTTTTATTGAGTATTTTATACATGTAGTACCGCATCTTTTGATAAATCTCAAGAATCCACAATTTCTGGCTCGTGGTTTTGCGCGTCACACAAGTGGGCTTTCCTGAATACGTCGAAGTATTCTACAATCTGTTTTGAAGAATGACCGAGTTATAGGCAAGTTCGGGTGGTCGGCATACGCCTACTTGACCAAAAATCCATTGTGAAAACGCTGATATGGTTCTAGTTTATTTATATTCGTTCGTTACTACAGAATACTCACTTTTCGCCACCTTTGGACTTTCACTACTGTTTCGTTGCTGCACACCGCCGCTCCTGTAATACGCGTCATTCGTCGCTTGACAGCATTCATTTCGTTGCACAGATTGCACATATCAGCGACTATTATCCTAAACTTGGCTGTGATGTAGCCATGACAGCTGCTGTATTGATTATGGTGTCAAATGACCTTAACCACTGCCAAACGGTGTTTGTTGCACTCCACCTCTTTAGGCATCTGATCACGTCATGCGGTTGATCAAATGTACATCTAAATGTAAGAAAAACAATTCTGAGCGTTTTTGCGACTGGTCTTTGTTGGGGGAAAATCCATCTCTCGGGAACACTGAGGGTCGGAGATGAGAGATGGTCTTTCAGAAGGTGTCCATTTCAACCCAAATTTCACCGGATCGAATCGACCTGACTTCAAGCAATAGCCATCACTAAAGAGCGCTTAAGGAATGTCACCTGTTTCATATTTTCAGTTAAGCCCGCAAAAACATCAGCTGCCCCTAACATAAGGCTGCTTTTCGTTGAGTGTAGGGTTGTACCCTTCATCTTGTTAAGTTATATTAGGTTATTTCAGGCACGAGTATAAATCTTGCGGTTTGAACTGTCTACTGGTTTGACTGTTTACTGACGTGATCACGTGATCCGGGTTTTATTTCAGGTGGAACTGATCAATACTCTACATCATTAATTGACGTGGAAACTACTGAAAATGGCCTCGTCCTCGCTGACCAGGAAAAATCACATAAAGTTCCGGGGGCATTCAGGCCAGATTGATCGACCGCTGTAAGCCAGTTTTGTGTTCCCAGCAAGACCGCATTGGCTTGGAAAAGACCGTGGTCTTAATGAGTGAGATCGGTCGACTGGAAGTCCTGCAATACTTAGAATCATCTTGAATGCTACTATCAATCATGATTCGTTCCATTGTTTGCACCATCGTGGAGAGCTAAAAAGGTCACAACGTTATAGTTACCACTGAACTTCAATTATTTTGTTTCCGTGTTACACACGGCTTCGTACAACCGCTCGTCGTAGACACAACTGTTAGATGAGGTGATCGGCGTTTAGCACACCACCTATTGAGTGAGTT